AGACCACCCAGAGAGCAGCGGGCTGAACCTGGGTAGAGCCTGCCTCCTGGGCTGCAGCCATCTAGAACTATCTCTGTTCCTCACCGCTTTTCAAATGTTCCAGGTGCAGTGAGCAACCAGGCCCACTGCTTTTTAAATGCCCTGGGGGCACAAAAATCCGTTTTACTTGGAGGCTTGGGCATAACGGTCCATCCATGGGATAAAAGGATTTGTCCTTTTGACACCACAGACATTCAAAACCATAGAGAAACTAAACACAGCCGGCGTTACACCAGCGCCCACAGCAACTTTCCCAGGTTGGAAGAGTTCCAAGGACTAGCGGGCGGAGGCACTCGGTCACGGCGGGAAGAGGTAGGGCGCAGGGGTATTGTGACATGCTCCAGGAAAGGGCAGCTTTTCCCTTGGCCAACGGAGGCCGGGGCCCAGAGGGGCAAGGGAGCGGGACCGGGCATGGAGCCTGGGGCCCAGCCCTCCGGGGCCCCGCAGGACGGGAAGGTCGAGCCGCAGCAACAGGCTCCGGCCCAGTCCACCGAAGGCCACGGCCAGGTGCTGCTGCTGGGCGAGCTCTGGAAGCAGGATGAGTGCTGCCTGACCCTGGAGAACATCTTGGAGCAGGCCCCGACCGATCAGCCCGCCGGGCCCTCGTCCATCCGAGCCACGAGCGGCCACAGCAGCTCCAGCAACTGCGCCAGGCGGCGGCCCAAGCGCTCCGGCGACAGCTCATGGAAGGGTGCCGACTGTCCAGCCGCCAAATCCAAGCGCTCCACCCAGAAGCAGCAATGCGACAGGGACAAGGCTGCGGACGCGCACGAGCGCGAGGTGGCTCCGGCTCCGGCCGGGACCCCCGGCTCCGGGGCAGCGGAGGACCCGGCATCGGGATGTGCGGACCCGCGGCCACGGCCGGCGCCGCCCGAGCAGGGCGCACGGCTGCTCCTGGTGCTGTGCCGCGCGTCGGCGCTGCGCTCCCAGCTGCCGCGGCTGCAGCTGCTCCTGCAGCAGGTGCACGCCCGGGGCCCGCGCCCGCCCGCCGCGCTGGTCGGGATCATCGTGCAGCCGCGGCGCGACGAGGAGGCCGAGGCGCGCCGCCGCATGGAGACCCTGCTCTGCAGCGCCTTCGCGCCGCACAGCCCCGCCGTGGAGGTGCACACGGCCGTGTTCTGCCCCAGCCGCCCCGAGGGCACCCTGGACGTCCAGTGCGCCACTAGCCGAGCGCACACTGGCGCGGCGCGGGGCTGCGTCCACCTCGTTGATCGGGAGACCCAGACGGATGGTGAGGGGCCCGAGGGCGGGGAGTGGGAACGCCAGGCGGCCGGGGGCGTCCCCGGGTGGGCAACGTTAAATACGGAGGGAGTTCTGTGCCCTGACCCTGATGGTCCCTAGTGGTGGACAAATCCCCAGTGTCACGGTCCCTCTCCTAGCGCCTCCAATTACACCGTTTTGGGTGAGAATGAACTAGATTCCTCACCCCAGGAGTGCTCACTGGGGCAATCTCGGGTCAAAAGTGTTCGAATTGACTTAATTCGGAGGGTTACACTTCCCACCCATCCACCCACCTCCTTCCCCCTTGCCCATTACTCCTAATCAGGCTTTTGTAAGGTACAGATTTGGGAGTTTGTAGGAGCTGGGCCCACCCCCTCCTCTCCTCACCCACTTATTCCTTGTTTGGTCTTCGCCTCCAAGGGAATCATAATTGCAATAAAAACTTGCCTACCGTGAGCCAGGCGCTGTTCTAAGGGCTTTTCACGTCTAATCCTCACAACAACCCTCTGAGGGAGGTACTGTGTTTGAGCAGCTGACTGATGCAGAATTCTTATTCACAGCCCTTGAGACCCTTCCTGTCAAGGAATCCAGGCCTGTGGCCCCAGAGGGTTAATCTGTGGGTCTTAAGGCCGGGGGCAGTGGGCTCTTAAGGCCTTCTGTCTCCAGAGCCCCCTCCTGGGGCAGCAGTGAAGAAGAAGGAAGTGCTCTGGGCCGGGTAGTCCAAAGCATGGTAACTTGGGGCTCTGCCACCCTCCTGCTGGTGACCAGAACAAGTTGTCCCCTCTGTGGACTAGTTGCCCTCCTGACATGTGGGGACCAAGGTCCAGTTGGTGTCTGAGGTGCCATCCAGCTCTAAGATGCTACTAGCTTCAGGACAAAGGTTGATAAACTTGTTCTGGGTGCCCAGGACGCGTCCAGAGGGCCAGAACCACCAGCGACCTTCTGGGTGTGGATATTAACACCCTCAGGACCTTATCCTGACTACTTGACTTTGCAGCCCCTTAGACTCATTCTTCTCGCTCTCCTAAATAGTCCACGAGATTTACCCAGGGCTGGCGTGCCTGGTTAGGAAAGCCTCGACTATGGACTGTGCCAACCGTGATCCTCAGCCAAGGCCAGAAAATCCCAGTCCCTCTGAAAACAGCCCCTTAGTGAGCGGTCTCCCAGGTGCCTTGTCCCCCATCATCCACGTCCCCCTGCCTTCACCAGTTTCCTGCTGTCCTTGTCCTCCTGCCCTCCCCTTCAGGCAGCCCCTGTGGAGCCCCTTCTCTGCACTTGGCCCTCCGCGGTCTGCACGGTCTGGGAGTGGGAAACTGAAAGAAGACAAGGATAGACATCATTCTAACGCCACACAGAGTGTGATCTGGGGCTCAGAGAGGGAGAGATGGCTTCCAGTTGGGGGTCTCAAGACAGGCGTTATGAGGAGATGGCTCCACTTGAGATGGATCTTGATGAGGGATGTGTTTTGACAGGAGGGAGAGGGGCTTGATGGAGGGGGACGGGCTTCCACAAAGGCAGGAAAATGAGACATGTTCACCAGACCTCTGGTGTTCACGGTTGGCTGGAGCTGGACACGCGGAGCAGTGAGGTGGCCGATAAGCCTGGGACGTTGGGCTGTGACCGTGTTATAGAGGAGTCTAACTTCCAGGCTAGGAACTTGTGCTCAAGCCGGAAGGCAGAGGGAGGACATTCTAGCAAAGAACTATTGCAGTCCATTCTTCCTCATTTTTCAGGGCCAACCTCTCACTCCATGAGTGACCCCACTGCTTCTTGGGACCATCCTTACTAAGGAACCCACACATATTTTCTTCACTGCCATAGAAAAACCCCACTCCTTCCGAAGCCTGACCATCTGTGTTCCCTCCATCACTCTCCCGGGGAACAGGGACCTGTTTTCTATGCCTTGTTTGGCTTCTTGGTGTGAAATGGAATGTTTCCTTCATTGCTACTAGGAAATCCTACCCATGTGTGGCTGCTCCTATCTAATTCATTTAAACCAGTGGTTCTTGACCAGGGGCAATTTTCACACACACACACCCCCAAGGACATTTAGCAATGACTGTAGATATTTTTGGTTGTCGCAACTTGAGGGGAGGGGTAGTTGCTACTGGCATCTAGTGGGCAGAGGCCAGAGATGCTGTCAAACTTCCCACAAGGCACAGGACAGCCCCACGACAAATAATTATCTGGCCCAAAATGTCAATAGGGCTGAGGTTGAGAAACCCTGATTTAAATCAGGTTGAGGCCCTCAGTCAAAAGCCCATTGGTGCATGAAAATCTGATTTTGCAGAGATAAACGCCTTAGGCGTTCCTGCCCTGACTGCTAACTCTGGACAGAGTTCCTGATCCGGTTTCCAGTCTCTGATTCTAAATCGAATCCCCCGAGGGACCCATTGGTCTTGACTTCATGGAATAACCACCTTCTTCTAGACCCACCTTCTCCCTGATCTCCTCACTCCGAGGCTCAACCGAATTCAATCCAACTTTATTATCTGAACTGCCGATCCTTCGTGCCTTTTTTTCCTACAATCCTCTCACTCGAGGGATTTTTTTAATTCATTGATTTTAAGGCTTGTATATATCTGACTCCCAATTGCCTTCTGGAGTCATGAAAAGAAAGAGCCCTGAACAGGAATTTAGTCCTGTCGATGGCTCCAACCAGCTGTGTGACCTTGGAAAAGTGATTTAACTTCTCTGAACCTCAGTTTCTCCTCTGCAAAAAGAGAATCATTTAGGTCTTTTCAGGCTCTAGAATCCCTAAAATATTTCCTGACATTTCACAATTCACATCGGGTCTGGCCTAGCATGGGGGTTCCTTCCAGCTAGGTCTGCCCTAAACCTTATCCTGGGGAAGGAATATCACACACACACACACACACACGCACACACACACAGAGACACCTGGGCACATGGGGTTAACACTCAATACTCACCCACCTAGTGACACATTAATGGCGGAAGTAGAGTCTTCTAATGTAAGTACACATCCAAGAGTGAAGTTTAAGGTTAAGGTTGAAGTTAAGGTTGTCCTTTAAAAATGTTTTTTCCTCTTCCATCCTAAAAGGAAAATCACATTGTTAACTTCGAGAAAGATTCGTAGTCCTGATTGACCCAATGAGTTTGGGATTTGGTCTGTTGTTGCGGGTGTAATGAATTTGAGAAAAGTATAGTTTTGCAAACAGCTGTTTTTAGGGGAAGTTCTTTTGCAAGGATTCTTATCAAAGGGACCCCCAGCCCCTTCCCACAGTGGGGAAGGCAGGCTTTGGAAGAAGGGGGAAGCTACTCTGTATAAGATAATCAGGGTTGGGGGGTGGGGGGCAACAGCTGAGATAGTAGAATGCTGCGGGCCTTCCATAGACCCCCAAATCTTCAGTAAAGTTACCTAAAACTCATAGAATGCACGGTGAAGGAGTTTTTTTGTATCTGTATGTGGAAACCGGTGACAGAGCTGCGTGTCACCACCAGGGTGTCTTAGAGTTAAACGGGATGGCGCACAGGGACCCAGGAACACACCAGCGGAGAGGTGCCTGGAGGGGGCGCTCCAGTCGCAGGATCATGGGGGTCCAGGTTGTCACAGGCTCCGTGGCCAGCCTTAACCAGGTCCGTGAGGGGCCAGCAGCTGCCCTCTGCCCATCCCGGTCTCTGGGGAGGAGGGAGGACAGCAGGTGGTGTTGGCAGAGAAGACTGTCCCCAGAGCCCTGCCATAGGAGCCACCTGGCTTTTGTGACCTCACAGGGGGTGGGAGTGACTGTTCTCTGTGGGGCCCGGGTCCAGCCAGAGGCCAGAGCCTTCCCCAGGCCAAGGGCAGACGGCCCCTCCAGGAGGGAGCCGGGAGATTAGGCAGCTCCATGGAGGTCCAGGTTTAGTTTGGGAGGGTCCACCATGAAGAAGGGCAAGAGGAAGAAGCCGGAGGCCAGACGCCGCGGCTCCTCCTCCCAGCACACCAGCTCTGAGTCCACCTCTCAGCAGCTGAGCTCCGAGCCCAGCCCGCAGCAGCCGGGCTCCGGCTCCGCCCCGCAGCAGCCCATCAATGGACCAGCCCCTCAGCCCGGCCCTGAATCCACCCCACAGCAGCCTGCGCCCCAGGCTCTCCCAGCTCCTGAAGTCAGCCACTCGGCTCAGGGCCCACTGCCTCCAGACACGGACACAAAAGCAGCCCCTCAATCCAGGAAAACAGGTGGGGTGGCTTCTCCTAGCTCTGGCCGTTCCAGCTCTCCTGCTGATGGAGTCCCAGGGCTACCTCAGAGGCTAGTCCTTATTGGGTAGCGATGCGTGGTTAACGTGTGTTCTGGAAGTGTGCTTGTGACCTGGGAGAGTTTTTGAGTTTGTTTTTACCCAAGAGACCAGGATTCCTGGGTTTTGTTACCATTTCTTACCATCCTGAGTCTCACTGAAGAAGACAGCCATGCATACACATTAACGTTTAACTTCACTCAGTGGTAATACTAGCCCATTAGGAGTCAGAAGTGCCATGTGGCTGCTAAAAAAATCAAATAAGGATGCATTAATAGAAGAATATGGTTTAGGACAAGGGAGGTGATCATACTGCTGTACTCTGTCCTCATCAGGCCATCCTTGTGTGCTGTGAAAGATGCCTAACAATGTAGTCCAAAGAAGATAGTGCAGGTTAATGGGGGATAAGAGGGTTGGGAAAGGCAAGAACCATCTGGTGTATGAAAATTGGTCAAGGGAATTGAAGGATGTCTGTCTGTCAGCTGGAAGATGTGAGTAGATTTATTGTCCTCAGATGTCTGACTAAGGGCCCATGGATACAGTTGCCAGGTAAAATGCAGGACACCCAGTTAAATTTGAATCTCAGATAAACAACAAATAATTTTTTAGTTTAAGTGTGTCCTGAATATTGCATGGGCGTCCTGTATTTTTATTTGCTAAATCTGGCAACCTTACCCATGGAAGACTCTATAGACAGGCAGATTTGTGCTCAACGTTAAAAAATTGCCAACAATTAGCTCTGTCTGAAAATGGAATGCTGTCCGGGAAAAATGTTCCTCCGTCTCCTTGGGTAGCAAGAGTCTAAATGAGCATTGGGTTGTGTAGAGGGAACTCAGGGGGAATTCAGGAGCAGCCAGCTCTACCATCTAGATTAACCTTCTCATTTAATAATCCTATAAAGGAGGTACTAGTATCATCATCTCCATTTTATAGATGGGGAAACTGAGTCTCAAAGAAGTGAAACAGCTCCCTCTCAGGCAGGCACTGGAAGCATTAAGAGGGGAACTTCAGTCTATTCTGACTCCAGAATCCTCGCTCTTAACTGCAGCACTGACCTTTCAATCCCAAGAGGTCTGGTGGTCTCCCCAGGAGGAGAACACCCTTCTCTGAGCTTCTTCTGGATCCACTGTGAGCCAGTGCCCATGGCTCTGTGGTCCCAAGCAGGCCACACTCCCTAGGCCACGGTTTATCCCTCTGGGATGGGTGGACATAAAATAAATGAGAGGTGTGAATGCAAGTGTCAAATCCAAGCTATCACTGTGACAACGGTATTTCTGTGGCTAGGGATCAATCTGTTCTTAACATGCGGAAATGGTTTTGAGTGTTTTACTATATATCATATGTATTATGATCATCAACCACTGCGATAAACATTTCTGGATTATGACCTTCAGAACTGACATCTGTAGAAGGCAGAACTTTCCATTCCCAAATCTTTTAATGAACGCATGCAGCTCCCCCTATGGGCAGAAGTTCTGCTTATTGAGGAGACAAAACAAGAAACAGTGGTGGCTCGTCAATGGTGACCCTACTCTTCTTCTGCTAAAGGACCTTTATTTCTTTGAACCAGAATGGGAAAGAATGTTGGAGATAAGGGATGTGGGCCTATAAATAAAGGATGCCATGTTCTAAAATCCAAACCTTTTTGTATGCAGAAAATATTGTAGCTCAAGAAAATACATGTCTTCCACTAGAATGGCTATAATCAAAAAGATGGATGATAACAAGTGTTGGTGAGGCTATGGAGAAATCGGAACATCATAGACTCCTGCTGGGAATGTAAGATGGTGCAGCTGCTGTGGAAAACAGTCTGGCAGTTCCTAAAGGGTTAAACATGAAAGTACCATATGACCTGGCAATTCTTCACTTGGGTATATACCCAAGAGAATTAAAAACATACGTCCACACAGAAACTTGTACACAAATGTTCACAGCAGCATTATTCATCATAGCCAAAAAATGGAAACAACTCAATGTCCATCAACTCATGAATCGATAAACAACATGTGGTACATCCGTACAACGAAATACTGTTTGGCAATAAAAAGAGATGATACAACATGGATGAACCTCAAAAACCTTAGGCTAAGTGAAATAAGCCGGTTCCCAAAAAGACCACATATTGTATGATTCCATTTATGAAATGTCCAGAATAGGCAAATCTATTGCCAGGAACTGGGAAGCGTGGGGAATAGACAGCCACTCTAACGGGTATGGAGTTTCTTTTGGGGGGAGATGAAAGGGTTCTGGAATTAGATAGTGATGATGGTTGCACACCTTTGAGAATATACTATAAACCACTGAACACTTTAAAGAGGTGAATTTTATAGTATTGGAATTTTATGTCCATTTTTAAAAATTTTTTTAATTAAAAAAAAGTCTTGCCTTTAGAATCCCCTCCTTCCCCATTTCAGGAAGAATATTTGTCGTGGGCAGGTCTAAACAGGAAGTGTGCTGAGTCTGCCAAGGTTGGTCACTGGCTTCATGGAGCTCTGGCTAAAGAATCTACAGCTCTGTCAAGTAGCCAGGACAGAACACGCTGCCTGAGGAGGGGATTATCCAGCCAGACGGCCTCTTGTGTAACAGCAGAGGGCGCCATCTGCGAGTTCTGCTGGGATCCGCAGCACAGGAGCACAGAAATGGGAGATCAGTCTAGCATATTTCAAGGATCGTAAACTGGAGCAGCAGTTGTCTTCTGGATGAATCAATGAACCCCAGAAAAATGGAAATGGAACGTGGCAGCTCCAGTAGCAGGAATCTCAATGTCGCCTCTCATAGGGTGGGAAGTCACCTGCTGCCATCACTTCCTGTGAATTCTGTGGAAAGAGCACCGAATGAGAGTTAGAAAGCCTGAGTTGAAGCCCACTTCTTCAGTCTACTTGGATCAGGGAACATCCCTTGTATTCTTTGAGCCTCAGTTTCCTTGTTTGTAAACTGAAAATAACAACATTCCACTTCACAGGATTGTTCTGACAGTTAAATGAGATGGATAACGATGTGACGGATGGAGCACTGCACAGGTGTCAGCTATGACATCATTATGATTTCTATTATTCTCAGGTAGCCTCAGCCTGTAAACCAACTAGTTTCCCATGCAGTTAGTTGTCTCCCCTGTAGACACGCCTCCTGTCCTGTAGACACCTCCTGGAGGAGGTGGGTCCCTGATCCTCTCCTTTTCTCTTCACCCAGGGCCTCTGACTCGTGCGGGCCCGCGCCCCTTCTGTTCCTGTTCTGCTTGCCCTGGCAGCTCTGCTTGCTGGCGTCGTCTGGGCCTGTGCCACAGCCACATCTTCGATGTCCTTCTGCCTCGGGCCTGGCCCACCATGCCAGGGAGAGGACTCCCAAACCTCCTCACCTTCTACAGGTTCTGGAGCGCGTGGAGGGCTGGACCCTCAGGGCACATGATTCTCAGGGCCAGGCTCTGCCCGGGACCGCATTAGCAGTTGTGTGTAACTTCCTCTCCTGTGTCACTTCCTCTCTTTGGGGAATCCTGGGCTGAGAGGAAAGCCTCTCCCTTGGGTGGCCACTTCCTGGGGGTTGGCGCCTGGCCACACCACCCCCAGGGTCCCCCACTTGCACAGAAAGGTGCCGATTTTCTTCCTTTCTGAGAATTGCTTCTTCAGGGGTTCCATTTTTCTTTTCTCCATAGGCACCCTCCTTCCTCAGAGCACACTCCCTCACAGCCTTCAGAAATTCTGTGTCCCTTGGAAGCTTTGTGATGAAACGCTCCGTTTGGGCTCCTTCTGTGGCCCACACCATAGCTGAGAGCTTCACATTCTTGACCTGCATGTGAATTTCCCTGGAATTTACTGATAAATATGGTTGTAACTCACATGCCCCCTGGTGATAGCAAGACCTCCACCCGCATCAGAGGGTCTCAGGCTGTTTCTGGCAGTCCCCACAGGGGGTGTCCCCAAGCTGATCTGTCCATGGCAGGGCAGCCCCCCACAGCATCATCCCCAGTATCTGTCCTTCTTTTTGTCTTCCATGAAGCCACCAGGAGAAACCTGGTGGCTGCCTCTTCCCCACATAGGAAGACCTCTGTCCAGGGAACTGGGCTGAAGATGTTACTCCATTTTTCCAGGGGGGCAGGGCTATGGGCAAGGGATGGGAGAGGGGCCTCCACCCACCCCCAGCTCTGGGCCCCAGCTCCACCTCTACTCAAGGTCTCACAAATGTCCACGGAAGAGGTTTTGCACTTGGGGATCTCATACCCCTAAGCCAGGAGCAGAGCCCACCCATCCCCCAACCCATCTTGCTCCTCTTCCCAGCCCCTCCCCCACCTAATCTCCTCTCCTGCCCGTCCTTGAAAAGCACCATCTCTCAGACATATGAAGAGAAACAGATACCCGGGTGTGTTGGGAGAACATGCCTAGAGCTAAAAATACTCCTTGGTAAGTCCCATCAAGGAAGGGCCTGCCCACTGCTCACCATTGTCGACTGTCCTCCCACACGCTTGGTATTTCCATCCATCTGTGCCAAATTGTGCCACGGATTCGTGTTACTTTAAAACCAACAAGTAGGGCCGGCCCCGTGGCTTGGCGGTTAAGTGTGCGCGCTCTGCTGCGGGCGGCCCGGGTTCGGATCCCGGGCGCGCACCGACGCACCGCTTCTCCGGCCATGCTGAGGCCGCATCCCACATACAGCAACTAGAAGGATGTGCAGCTATGACATACAACTATCTACTGGGGCTTTGGGGGAAAAAATAAATAAATAAAACCAACAAGTAGGAAAACCTACTCTGCCTAGGATACAATGAGGGAAACCACAATGAGGGAGACCAGAACAGGGAACTTTACCCTTAAAAACTGTACAGTCTACTCGGTAAGCTAAGACATGTACATTTAGAAACTAGGATGTAAGTCAAAATGTGATGTTCCTCTGGGAGATGCTCAAAGAGCTTCAAAAAAAGAGAGTGCTCACTCCTGAATTGGGGCCCAGGTAGCCTTTATAGTGTCAATGGTATCTGAGCTGAGTCTGAAAGGATCTCGGGACCCTCCATGGCTTAGCATGAGCAGAGAGAACATTCGAGGTGGAAGAGAAGGCAAAAGCAAGACTCAGAATTCAGAAAGTCAGGGGGAAGGTACAGAGACCCAGTCTGGCCAGGGTAAGACCTGTAGTCTTCCTTCTGTCCAAATCTTAGCACCTACTTCCGTAATCTTTACGTTTCTCAGAGGAGTGGAATGTGGCTCTTGGCTTTAAATACACATTCACATTAAATAAGAATCCCTACTTTAGTAGGATTTTTATCAAAATGGATATTGCATTTTGTGAAAGCGTTCTTCACAATTGTTAGCATAACCATATATTTTCCTTGCCTTTGCCGGGGGTGTAATGTGTCATTTCTTCAGATTCCTCGTCTCCAAATGGAGCTACATGATAGAACCTACTTCACAGGATTGTTATGAGGTTGAGGAAGACATTGGGCTGGAGGTGTTTAGCACAGAGCCTGGCTCACAGCAGCCTTGACCACCTTGGTAACCTGCTCCCTGAGTGTCCAGGGGAGCTGGTGTCCCAGGCCAGCCCATCCTCAGATCCCGGCGGGTCTTGTGGGAGGGCTTTACTGGAAGGGGTGGCAGTTGTGTTCCCTCGAGAGGAGGATCAGGAGGGGGAAATGGGTATTCCTGCAATCCTGGAGGACCCCATGATTTCTGCTTTCCCCTGCCTGTAGACAGGCACTGCAGCCCAGCTTCCCCCAACCTGTGGGCTTTCCGCTGCGCTTTACAGGAGACCTTCAAGAAAGCCCTCCGTTCATCGTAACGCGCGTGCTCCAAGTCCTCGGGACTGTTGCTGTGGCTCTGGGGGCCCTGGGAGCTGCCTACTACACCACTGAATACTTGTGATCAACCCCCAGGCCCGCGGCCCGGCAGGTATGTAGACCCCCTTCGTGCCCATGGCCCTTTGCAGAAGTCGTCCTCAAGCCCATTCACTTGGCATCCCTTCAGGGCAGGGCCGATGGAGTGTCTGCGCTTTCTCTGAACAGAGGAGGTCTTCGTGGGTGGACCAAGCCCCCCAGCCTCTCAGGGAAAGCTTGAGAACTGAGTGACTCCATCCTGGACTAGGGTTGTCTGGCATGGCTCTCTCAGGCCACCCTGGACGCTCTTGGACAATGCTAGACCCATTATTGGGGTTGTCAAAACAGAGCTCCCCAAACCTCCACTGACCTGGGACAGCTCCTCTAGTCACAGATATCAGACAGGAGGAAATGGGAGAGGTGGGGGCAGAGGTTCCTACTCATCTCAGGGCCGTTCCTCTGAACTTTCTCTCGCCTGGAAAGCTTTTTCCCTCTCCCACCATTTCAAGTCCTTCCATAATGCCTGTCTCCACCACTGCAGCTCCATGATTTCTCCCATCTTTTTCATCACTGTTTTCTCCAGCCTATTTCATTCTTTATTGTGGATGATTTTTTTTTTTTGTATGTGTGTGGCCTGTCTCCCCAACTATATTGCAAGATCCTTGAGGGCAGGGAGTATGGTTTATACAGCATCTTCAGTCCTCCCCGTCTCAGGCCAGGCTCCCTAGAAGCAAAGCCTGAGAGAGGGATTTGGGTGCACAGGACTTATTAAGGAAAGAGAGAGTGAAGAAGGCAACAGAGGGCAGGGCAAGGAGCGAAGCAAGGACGAGGTCTCAGCTGGAGTCCAGCCTCAGCCTGATCCCACGGGAGCTCTGGAATGTGAATTATACCACAGAGCTGGTCTCACCTTGCGGAAAGAGAGTTGGCCTTTCGTGCCCCTTTGTCAGTCAACATTGGCTAGAGGGGTGGGGTGGGGAGTGCATGTCTTTGTGACAAAGTGGCTCCCATTTGGCTGAGGACAAGTCTGTGGGGAAGGAGGTAGCTCTGAGCTGTTAGCAGCCACATTCCCAATTCATGGGAGCTGGGCAATGGATGCACCAGCCTGGAAAGGGGATCTGGGCAGGCACCAAGAGCACCCACGACTGTTCCCATTGTCAAGTCCACACGCAGTGAATGCCTAATAAGTGATGATGGCAGATAATGAGGGGGTAATGGGAATATTACAGCCACCCCCAGACCTCCTCCAGCCACAGGAGTGGACAGGGAATGGCCATAGTAGGGCGTGTGGTGGGAGCAGATGCTCCAAGTATCTCAAAAGCCCAACCCGGAAAATCAACTCCAGCAAGAGCTCACCATCGGCTCAAGGGCTCTGCTGCCTGATGGAGGGACATTCACAGAAGAGTAGAAGCAGGTGAAGCTTCATGAAACACCACAGCAGAGAGAGCCTCAGTTTCCTCATCTGTAAATAGGGGAAATCTTCTTCTTGAGATTGTTGGGAGCATGAAATGAGGTGCTTAGAGGACAGAGCTGGCCAGCTGGTAGGTCTTGTTACTGTTACCATCACGGTGGTGGTTGGAAAGATGCTGGCTTTGGAGCCAGAGCTGTAGGTTCCAGTCTTAACTCTGCTACCTGGTAGCTGGATGTTAGGGGCTGCGTTACTTAACTTCTCTGAGAGTCAGTGTCACCTCTAAAGTGGGGAGAATAATGACTACCTCCAAGGGCGATGGTTGTGAGGATTAAATGAGGGGATGTGCAGACCTACAGCACCTGGTCACAGGGGTTGGGTAGATGGTCGTGACAGGTAGGGTGACAGACACACCAGAATTAAAGTGTTTTGTCCTAGAGCCTCCTTACAGCAGAGCCCACTGGCATGAGTTGGGTTCTGGAAACAGGCAGGCTTGGGGTCAGGTCCCTCTTCAACACCCAATATCTCTGGGGCCTGGGGCAAGTTTCTTAACTCCTGACACCTCATTTTCTTCTTGTTAAATGGAGGTATTAATAGTACAGCTCTCATTGGATTGTTCGGGGAGAGGGCTGGGTGAAAAATATACCTGTAAAACTTAGCACATGGCCTAGCACAGAACAGGATTCAACATGGTAGCCTCATCACCATCATCGCCATTATTTCTTAGCTCAGTGTTCCCCAAACTTTAGTGACCTTTGACACCTGTGACATCACTTATTTTTCTTTAAATTAGCTTACTTTTTAACGTAAATGCACTTATTTTAAAAGGAAATGTAAGTTTGGCAATAAATGGAAAATCCTAGCGCTTGCCATAAAAAGACTCATGGTGAATATAAATACAAAATGTCATGGAATTCTGGCTGATGGGGTGCCTGAAAAAGTCTCAGCTTTGAAGGCAGTGCCCTGTGTGTTCAAAGGATATTTGACAGGTGCTAGATGTGAAGACAGGCCAGCTCCATGCTGAGACACTCTCCTCCACATTAAGCAGGGATTTGAAAGATAACGGGAATGGGCAGTGATCCACGTTACTTAGTGTGGTGTCCAGTGCCCCCTGAAGTGTCTCAGTAGTGTCCATCACCCACACTTTAGGTCACACAGCCCTGAGCCCTGGGGGGGGCGGGGAGGGGTGGTAGGTGGAGAGGAGGAGAAGCGAAGGGAGGATGCGGAGGGGGAAATGGAGAGGAAGAGGAGTGGGAAGGAAGGGAGTGGAATGGAAACCCACTGTGGGTCTAGAGGAGGTCACTTCCCTGGGACTAGCTGAGAGTCTGAATCGGTGGCTAAGTCAACAAGGCCCCCCAGAGACTGAATCCAGTCTTCACTACATCCACCAAAGCTGTGTGCGTGTTGGGAGTAGGGGGTTCAAGTGGCCCGTGGGGCTTGTTCTGGGGCCTTGGCATCGCTGACGGCACTTAGGAACTTGCGCAGTGCGCAGACTTCACTCAGCTCCGCCCCTTTCTCCTGCTCTGGGGTGACTCCTTCTGTCTCCTTAGGGTGGGCCCCTTCCCTGATGCAGCGTTAGGGTGCAGCTTTCTCAGGGCCAGATGAAAGCCCCCAGGGACAGAATTTCATCCTGACAGGCGGGTCCTCCCAGGACAGACTTCTTCTCCACACAGAGCTGTCCCGTGACCGCTCTGGTTTCCCTGGAGGGAGAGGGAGACCGTGCCACCCACCCCACCCCCATGTAGTGGCCTGAGACAGGGTCCTTCCCAGGCCCCACCGTCTGTGCCCGGAGATTCTGATGAGGCAGCCTTTCCCCACGTGACCCACTGCTTTTGTCGAATTGCTGTTCTGGAAACTGTGTGGGAACCAGTGTTGGGATCAATGCTAGTTGGCATCCAGGTGCTTGAGATGTGTCTTAACCAACCTCAGCAAGCCCCACGTCTTCCAGACTTGCCTCTGCCAGAGCCTGGGCTGCAGTGTCATCTCCCCACGTCAGTCAGTGGACACTGTGGGCCTGAGGTCTGATTAAGGCACCACCAGCAGGGGTCAGGGAAGACCTTTCTGGAAGCCTGGAAGTTTTAGTCTCAGTTCTTGGACACTGGTCACTATAGTGTCTCCCACCTGACTCCCCAATCTCCACCGACACATACTCCTGTGTAACTGTGTGAAAAGACAGGTGGGTCACCACGGCTGTCACGTGTCAGTAGTGACCACACCACACTAGGCACTGTGAGACATGGTGACACAGTGGGGAGTGGACGGCACATCCACCAACAGGCCAAGGCTGGGCTGGGACTTGGAGGTCTGGTAAAGTCTGTGGATCTAGGCTGGCCAAGGCTCCCAGGCAAAGAGGTGGGGTAATAACAGATGGAGACACAAACGCTTACCTGACAGCAAAGCAGGAAGGCAGAGTCCAGATGGGAAAGAGTGTACGTTAATAAATTACGCATTCATTCATTCAATATTTCTTGGGCACCTCCCTTGTGCTACAGGAGTAAATCAAGACAGACAAGGGCCCTCCCCTGAGGGAGCCTACATTCTAGTGGGGACAGGCAGATACGGCAAGTCAAAGAATAAACAAGGTCACTTGATTTGGTGGTAAAAGTGATCAAGGAAATAAAGATATAAAGTTGATCTGACAAAGAGCAACCAGGCAGAGAGGGGTGGGGCGAGCAGGCGGGGACTCTGCTGGAGACAGGCTGGTCTGAATTGAGGCACGTGTGGTAGAAGGAGCCGGACGGCACAAATCTGGGGGAAGAGTGTTCTGTGCAGAGGGAACAGCAAATCCAATAGCCCTGAGGCAGGGAGGAGCCCGACGTGTTTGGGGGCCCGAGAAGAGGCCAATATGGGGGGAGCTGGGGGAGCAGGGTGTCACTGGAGGGGAAGGCAAGGTCAGGTCAGGCAGGGCCTTGGGATTTCCCTTGTGTTCTAGATGCAGTGGGAAGCCACTGAAGCAGGGCAATAGCAGTTTCTTACACAGCGCTCCCTGTGTGCGGGCACTGTTCTGGGTGCTTCACATAAATTAACTCGTTCATCCTCCCCGAGAGGGGAGTATCTCAAGCTGCTGGTTTAGATTTCAGAACAATCACAGGAGGTTGAGAATGGGAAGGTGGGAAGGACGACGGGGTGCGGAATGGTTTGCACTATCTAGGCAGGCAGAGATGGTGCTGGGATCAGGTGATGGCTATGGAGGGGAGAGTGAACAGGTATATTATGGGGTAGAAGCAGCAAGTCTTGCTGATAGATTGCATGAGACAACGAGCGAAAGGGAAGCCTCGAGGATGACTCCAAGGTCAGGGTGCCATTGCCAGAGGAGTGAGGGGCACAAAGGGATAGACATCAAGAGTTGTGTTTTGTTGTTAATCTTGGGATGTCAGACAGTCGAGTGGAGATCTCAAACAAGCAGGTGGATGTAAGGAGCTCACAGGGCTGGCTGGGTCTTAGCTGTAAACCTAGGAGTCATTAGCAAGAGCTGAGCTTTAAAGCCATAGGCAGTGGCTGAGGTGACGTAGGGAGAGAGCATGGATAGAGCAGAGGGCCAGGAACCGAGGCCTGGAAGGTGCCAACGTGGGGAAGTCTGGTAGTGGAGGAAGGTACCTACGGAGAAGACACCAGCTGTGGGTCTGCTCTGGGTCTAGGCAAGCACGCAGGGTCCCAGGAAGTTCCCAGAGGTGATGAGAACAGACAGGTTCAGGTCAATAAGTGGCGTCCACCGGTAGGGAAAGGCCACACAGTGACAAGTGCCTCGGTGGGAGGGGCGGGTGAGCAGGGCTGTGGCCTCTGATTGTAAGGATCCAGCTGCTTCCTTTCTGCTTGTTCTATTCCCTGCTGAGTGTGGGCAGACAGACGTGTCTTCCCCATCCTGATGCCAGGACCCATCCCCATCTGTAAAGTGAACAGAGGGAGGACCCTGCACCAGCACCCATGTTCACAGCCTCATGGCCGTCGAGACAGTGTTCACTGCTTCATGAGAAAAGTTCCTTAGCCCAACAGTTGAATGAAATTTACCTACCTGCCACGGTTACGGTGCTTTGTAAACTGGAAAGTGTTCCACTCTGATGTGTCTCTTTTTAAGTCCGTTGTAACAAGAAAGTGTGAATTGGTAGGTTCCCAAATGCCACAAGGCATTTTAAGACTTAATCTGAGAAGTGGATTATGAGTTAGATGACGTGGTGCTGCAAATTTCAGAAAACCTAATTCAAAATGGTAATAAGGAGATTATCTCACATAACAACAGAACCGTTGGGAAGTGTCGGGGCTGTTTAACTCAACGGTGTCATCAGCGATCGGGAACTTCTCCAACTTTCAGCCCTGCCACCCTCAGTAGAGCGGGGGCTAGTTCTCCTCAGGCAGATGGCTGCAGGAGCTCCCAGAATCACACCCTCAGACCCTGACAGCCAGAAGCGGGGAAAAGGCCACCTCCTCCTTGTGTCTCTTCTTGAGTTAAAAACTTTTCCCAGAAGCCCCCTCCCCTGGCATACCTGCCCTCTCATTGGGGTGAGATGCCCCTGCGTTGAGTCTCACGGCCCTTCTTAAACTAAATTCGTAGCATAAGGGGTTACGTTATCATGACTAGATCAGACCTATCTAGACCTACCCCTGTGTTCTACACCAGGGCCGGGGCTGAGGTTGCTTCCCTTTGCTGGGCAAAGGAACCGGGGCATCCAGACCAAATGGGGCCCCTGCAAGTAAGGAAGAAATGAAAGTGGACTTGGGGAGAGCAGTCAGCAACACCCTCTACAACGGGCAGAAGTGGTTTTAGATGGTGATATGGTAGCTACGTGCAGGATGAACTCCAATGTGGAGACCTGTTGGCTTGTGAAGTGCTTTAGCCACTGAAAGCCCCCCTGAGGGTGTGTGAGAGTCAGCATGTGTGTGTTGGGGGGCACCTTGTGGGGGTACACTGAGTCATCCTGAGTTTTGTAGGCTCAGAAATTAGACCCTATGGAAGGGAAACGGACAGTTTGGTGTCCTCAGTCCAGAGAGTGAAGAACCATCTGATGACAGTGGCAAAGCCTCCTCTCTGGGAAAAGACGTTTCTAGAATTTTCTTTCCTAAAGCTTGGTGAACCTCTCAGCATCCTACCGGCAAATAATGAGACGTTAAAAGTGAGGGACTGCTTCCCCTCTCCTTTTGGGCACCGAACTAGTAAAACTCACCACCACAGCCTAGCTTTTGGGGAGCAAGGCTCCATCTTAGCTGCTGGGGTCCCTGAGGGAGGGAGAGGAAGCAGAAGATGCCAACACTGACTGAGCCAAGTACAAGCCAGGCACTTTGCATAAGTGTGTTATAGCCTGAAGGGAAAAAGCAGCCTCTGTATGGCTGTGTTGGGAAGAAAGGAAGAGTGGACGCAAGAATAGAAGAAATTTGAATCCTAAATCATTTATTTTTCCGCAGGAGGACCTTAGTTGCTGAAGCCTCACCTATGAGGCTGTAAAACTGGAAAGCCACCAGAATTCCGGGGTCCTGGAGTATTGTCTAAGCTAATGGCCCTGTCCTTATTTTTCTTACAGATCCAGTTTCCATCAAGGATCTCTCTTGTCACCAAAATAGAACAAAAAAAAAAAAGAAAGAAAAAGAATTCTGTTTCTTTAATGTGTTTTACCCAGAGACACAAAAGTTGGACTTGGAAATGGGTTGGGAGGTAAGTGTGGGAGACCTCAGTGACTTCGTGAGCCCCAGGTCAACAAGGGTGAGAGCTGCCATTCCTGATGGGGGCCACAGACCCAAGGTTGCGCAACTTTCTCTGCACACACTCATGGAACAAATTGTTTCAGGTTTTCCCACTCTAAAAGCAGGAATTATACAAGTTAATTCACTACCTAAAATAGCTAGTCAACTGTACTTCCGTTCAGCAGTAATCCCAGTTAGTGGGAACAGGAGGAATGTGCTGGCTCCTTTCCAGGCCTGCACCTTGGAGAACAGAGGCCCTGCTCCCAGAATACTCTGTCTCTGGGAAATGGCTTCATTTAGCTTCACCTGTAATGGAGGAGGTGCAGGGGCAGGGTGAGGCATGGTTTGCAGCCTTGTGGTCTCTCCCGATGACTTAGCTTCACCCAGCCAGAGCAGGGTGGGTTTTGACATCTCACTCCTGAGCAGCTGAGGTCAAAGTTCAAAGTGATTCCAGGAAACACCAGTAGAGGGACGAGGTATTAAACAGGGAAGAGAGGACAGTCAATACGGGTACAGTGGCCACTGAGGGCAACTGAAGTTTAATCCTGCTGGGATGACCCTGGGAAACAACACACCTCAGAGTAATCCCACCCGAAGGGGGAAAGCTGGGTGTTTATACACCCATGCCGTTAGTCATGGGTTAAGGGCTGCTGGGAGGGAGGTGGTTAATTCCCCTGCTCTTTTGTCCACTCTAGAGAGAAAGACCCCAAGCAAACAAATGCAGAGGGCAGAGGTTGGGAGTCCAGAAGGCACTGAAGCAGCAGTAATAGCCAGAGGATATGAGGGGGTGGTAACAGGAGCATGAGGACAACCATGAACTCAAGTAATCCAGTGCACAGAGCCATGACCAGGAAACTTGTGGTGACTCCAAGAGCTGGTCAGGCTAGGACCCAGCAGGACAGCCCCTGGGGAGGCAGGGAGCTGGTCTACCTGCAGCACGGAAGGTAGGGTTGGGCAGGGTGGGCCAGATCAGTTACCAGAAACCCCGGAGCCCACCCAACAGCTCCCAATCCCAGAATTTCCTTTCCTTAACAGGCATTGGTAGATTGGGAGAGGGTACCCCTGGATTGACAGGAACCTTCTCTGGGAAGCCAGCCTCCCGAAGAAAAGTGCTGACTTCCAGGGTGGGATGGGGTCATGTTGCGGTCCTGTCTTGCAGGCAGGATGAAAGGGGCCAGGACATGGCGGACGGGACCGGGGGCCATGGCTGCTGCCGCCGGTCAGCCTGGCTTCTCTGACTGAAGACACTTAGCTGGCATATCAGTTAGGTCCCCTTTTGTTGTAAGTGTTGGACAGCCTAACCCAAACTGGCCTGAGCAAAATGAGAATGGATTGATTCCTGTAAAAGTCAAGAGAGAGTTCAGGTTCACATGTGGCTTGTTTGGGGAGCACAGGCCATGCCCCCAGAACCCGTTTCTCTCCCTTTGCTTTTGCAGCGTTGGTTTCTTTCTCACTCAGGCTCTTCCAACCAGGTGGTGGGATGGCTGCAACAGCAATAGCCCCCTAGCCTCTGAAGGTCAAGTCTGGCAGGGAGGGCAGCTTGTCTCCCAGCAGCAAAAGGCCTCTGATGGGGCTCTGATTATGTCCTGCGTCCCTCCCTGAACTCATGCTCTGCCCAGGGGAATCCAGTGCTCTGATTGGCCACACTGGGCCTGCACAATCATCTTTGGAATTGAGGGTCAAGTCCACAGAAGGTGTGAGGGCTGAGAGCAGGGAAGAGACAAAATAGTAATTTTGGTGAGCTGTTACCAGAAGAAATGGGAATGGATGCTAGGCAGCTAAATACAGCAGATGTCCACTCCAGGTGGGTTTGGGCCTGTGACCAGGGCCTGGGTGCTGCCCTCCACTTCTGCTCCCTTCTTCTTCACCCCCACCACTTCACCAGAATGAATGTCTGAATAGCTAGGAGCCAAGAATTCACAGCTGCCTTGAGCCACGGACCCCTGGTAGTTGGATTCCCCAGGGCAGTGGTGACCTGGGCAGTACTACCTTCCCACCCCCAGGGAGATGTATAGGCAGTGCTGGTTGTCACAGTGACTGGGGGTTATCACAGCCTGTTACTGGTAAAGGCCTAGAATGCAATTCACAGGATGGTCCCACACAATAAAGAATTATCCCACCCCACATGCCAGTAGCATCCTCATTGGCAACCACTGCCATTGGGTTTGTTTGTAGATACACTCCTACACTGGCCTTGCATCGAGTCTCACAATACTTGTCATGGACCACGGGCAGCCCTTTTGAAGAATGGAAACCATGCATGCTAACCTGTCACAGGCCGAGTGTCCCCCATCACTCTTCATCCTGCCGTGTGCGGTTCTGTTGGCATATCCCCATCTCCCCTCTTTTGTTAGGTCCTAGAGGCAGAGACCAGGTGTTTTTCTTCTCTCAAATCCTTCCCAGCACATAATAGAATCTCACAAATAAATAGGTCTGCCGCCATTGAGATGATTTTTGGACAAGTTGAGATTTGGGTTGGGCCATTGTATTCAGAGTGATTTATAAATGTGATCATTGGATTGAACTATTTTAATTACTACCAATTTCAAGCAATAGCCCAATAGGTGCTTTTGAGAGGAAAGTTTAGAGCTAGAAAGAAGTGTGACCAAGTATATTTCAGAACACAGTGCAATAGCTAAGGCTTCCATGGCTGTGAGTTTGGGGACAGCCTGGCTGAGGCTAGGCCTGCAGGTCTAGCATCTTCACCAGGCTGGGCTAAGACCTTGGCTTTGAATGTGGGCTCCAGACCACAGATTGGTTATTCTTGAGAGATTCAGGTCTTTCCCACTGAAGCGGTCCATCCATGGGTGGGAGAGGTACACAGGATGAGGGTACAAGAGGAGAAGGGCAGAGCTGAGTCCAGGATGCCCCATCATCCTGCAATTGCCTGTCTGGTCCTCCCAGCTCAATGGTGCCAGGAGCTTAGGACCAGCTGAAAGGTCCTGAGCTTTTCAGATATGACTCTGGTCTCCATCCTTCCCACCCCCACCTCCAAGGACAATTGCTGTCCCACTGGCCATGAAGCCTGGTGGGTTACAAGTAGAACAAGTGAGTGACCAGGATTCAGGGAACTGAACTGACAAATCCAGTCATAAAACTCAGGTGGAACACCTAAATGCAGACTCTTCCGTCTCCCGCCTGGTCCCAGGTTCAGTGCCATGGTGGGCAGCGCAGTAAACCAGGCCTGCAGCCACTGGGAACCCACCAGAAGTAGGACAACTCCTCCTGCTGCTGTTGCAAGTTCTGGCTTCACCAGGAGACTCAGGAAGTCCCTCTGTCCCCAGGCAACTCCTCCTCTGTATATACAGGCACAGCATAACATTAATGATATGCAGATAATATACGTTACCACACCTCACACAGCTGGTCACAGAGACGAGGAGCAGCGATGTGAACTGGCAAAGTGCCCTTGTTGGCATCCCAGGATGCATTCCTGGCCAAAGCCAGGAGGAACCGAGCTGTGAGCTGGGAAAAGACTGGGACTGAGGAGCCTCGAGGCACCTCCTTGCTCGGAGTATAGCATCATTGGCTGCCAAGGAGGAAAATCTATGGAGACGCTAAATCCCTAAGACTGTTCTCCTTTATAGCTCTCACCTCCTCTGCCCTCCACTTTTTCCGCCCTTCTGTTGCCTGCCCGCCTCCAGTGGTCAAGAGTGAACTGCTTGTACCATGTTCTGGGGAATCTGATTATACCTGGGATGTTAGTGTCTGGATTGCAGTCAGCTGCAGAATGGCACTGGGGGTTTCATTTTATCTTACGGTGCTCTACTCTGTGGGTGTGGTAGGGGGTGCTTTTAATGCGCTGATAAGCCATCTTCAAGGAGGTAGTGTGCATGGAAGATTCCCGGAGGCTACTGTTGCTCAAAGAACCTGGGGCTCCCAGCAGACCTCCGGGTGAGCCCCTGGAGCTGGACAGAGCTGACTAGGAGAAGTGGGATGAAGGATCGTTTGGGGTCTATTAGTGTTTCATACATATTTGGTGATGTTGGTTTTTCTGTGGCAACAAGCAAAAGGAAAGTCTTTGTTCTGATGGGATTAGGAATTGATTTGGTGTAAGAAACTTCAACTCCCTTGCCCATCTCCCTTCATCTTACTCGCTTGGCAAAACCACACTCTAGCTATATCAGTTCTGTGTCTCCTATGCACGTGTACTTGGGCAGCTGAACTGGGGGAAGCACAGCCTTGCACACCACAGACTCACTCTAAATTCATGACCTTGAACTCCAAGAGGGCATCAATGCTGGCAGGAATCAAATCACCTTACATTCTCTAAGACCCATCTCTGTCCTCAAACCTCTCACACAGCTCCCAAGACTTCCAAGAGTCATCACCAAGTCTCCCCACCTACCAGACCCTCTCTAGTCAATATGCACACCCCCTTCATCCAAGACAACCACTGGTTTGATTTCCGTCACCATAGACCGATAGACACATAGTTTTGCCTGCTCTGGAAACTCATAGAAGTGGAATCAACCAGGATGCACTCTTGTATCTGGCTTCTTTTGCTCAACTTAATGTTTTGAACCTAATTCATATTCCTGTAAATGTCAATAGTTTACTCCTCTTTCTTTCTGAATAGTATTTCCTTGTGTGACTATGACTCAATGTGTTTATCTACTTGCCTGTTAATGGACATTCAGATTATTTCCAGTTTTGGAATTTTTAAATAAAGCTGCTATGAATATGTTTGCATAATTCTTTTTGTGGACTGAAGTTTTCAATTCTCTTTGGTAAATACCTAGGAATGGAATTGCTGGGTCATAAGGCATATGTGTAACTTGATAAGAAAGTGCCATGCTCATTTCCAAAGTAGTTATACCATCCGACCCTCCTGCACCAGAGTATGAGAGCTCCAGTACACCACACAATCTGACCATTTAAA